ATATGCGATCAAACTTTGACCCTAGCATGGATAAATGATTAACAAATATAAACAAATACCGGTACTTAAATGCATCAGGCAATTCAGTGCTTATGATAAGAATTTTATACACATGTAATACTCATGTATTAAGCATTCCAATACCACTGACTTTCTGAAGAGGGCGGTATATAATGATTAGAAAGTCAGTCAGTTCGTCCTTCTGTTCGTTCGTTTGTCCGTCTTTTACATTACTATTTCGTTTATTTATAAGAAAGATGATTTTGTGGTTTACTTTTTCGTATCTTCACTCTTCAGTACACTTTTGTTTATCATCCCCTAATCAGAATTGTATTCAAGTTACTATATAACTCCATTCTACATCGTCTATTTTTTATTTTCTGGTTTTTCTCAACAAATCATGGACGTTGCTATTGCTTTATCTGGATGTAGCTATTTTGTATCTTAAAATAAAATTTATTAAAATCCTTTTATGGTCAAGATTAGTTTTGGTAGTTTCCTTAGCAAATCATATAGTTTGCCAGCGTTTTATATTGACTAGGGGAGGGGGTGTCGGGTGAGTGTGTTACTCATTTTCTATCCGCAATTCTTCATAAGACTTATTTTAGTATAAAGGATTATGGAAACTTTCTTTGAATCTTAACCATATAATGCCATTGTGCACATATTTTATTTTCTCGATCCAAATTACTTTTGGGGTTTTCCTTTGCAAATCATGGACTACGACATCATTGCATTATGTTTGGACGGGGATATATTTTGTGAGCCTTTGTATATAGTAACTTTAAGTTGCAATTTTGTTACAAATATCCCTAATGACTATATCTACGAATCAGGTCCCAGTTACTTAATTTCGTATTGTTTTACATTAATTATTAAACACAGTCACATTAATAGATATATCAATAAAATGAATAAAACAACAAATTTTCGTACATGCCATGACAATATAAAAAGTGATAATAAGTGGTCCTAGTATGTTAAACTTTTTTGTATTGCTGTCATAAGTGGTCAGAGTTGTCTTTAAACTGGTCCGAGTTGTCTTTAGATGTGCTCCAAATTGTTTTAAAATTAGTCCAAGTTGTCTTGGTCCGACTTTTATTTAGTCTGAATTGTCATATCAGAATATGAAAATGGGATAAGATAGTCAATGAGACAACTTTCCAAGGAGATCAAATGACATAGAGGTTAACAACTTACTGTTTCCGCACGGCCTTCAACAATAAGCCAACCATATACTGCATAGTAAAATATAAAATGTCCGGGAATCACAAAATAGAAAACAATTGAAACAAACGGCCTAATTTAGGTACAAAACAATGAACGAAAAATTAAAATATGATGTACAGCAACAAATGACAGCCACTGAATTATAGACACCTGACTTTGGAAAGTATCGTTGAAAATATATGTCAAGTCGCGCACTGTTGAGACTTCATGAAGGCTAACAATCAATTGTGATTTCTAAGATAAATAAGACTAAATAAACCAATTTGGATTCAATCAGGTGCCGTTATTCCTCATCGTAATTCCTTTCACTTAACAATATACTTTGTTTAAAAAACGAATGTAATTATTACAACAAAAAAGATCGATTCAGTCTGTAACAATTTTTTTGCATGTCTTATTAGTGTATTGAAAGTAAGTTATATACTTAAAACTACAACCGCTCTAGTTACAACATGAGTTGTCGAAAGGTCATTTCATCTAATAGGACATTTTCTATTAAAGAAGATTTTACGGTAATGTAATGTAAAGAGTAGAAAAATTTCCCCCACCCGTTCAGTAGTCGACATTCTATGGGATTCCCAGTTGCTGAATTAATCGGTCAAAGGCGTATGCATGCTCTCGAACAAAGGGGGTTGTCTTACCAACACTTAGGTGAAGTATCCTTATTTTACAACGACATAAGTATAGCATGTTTATTATTCAAATGCACAGTTATACACCAATGGGGTTGATTGCATACATGAAAGTACTAAAATAACACAGTACATAAAACACCACAAGAATGATAAAACTACCAGATTTAATATACGTAAGTACATAACAATTAGTAATACATAGAACATTTTAAACAGGGAAACACAATTAAATGTGTGTTTTCCTACTGTTAAACTTAAGTTAATTACATCTTCCTGATTGTGTTTAAAAGGTCAAACTTTCCCTTAACACGTTCAAGTACATCATAGACTTGTTGCATTAGAAAATACAATGCTACTGATAAGAATTTATTTATTTACATAATAAACTTTGAATGCTGCCTGGCTTTCTGAAGAGGACGGTTTAAAGTGATATTGAATCAGTTTGTTCTTCGTTTCGTTCGTATTTTTATTCATTCGACCGTCTGTCCAACTTATCGACAACTGCTCGATAATCCCATCACATTATTTGTGTAGCTTTCACAGAATCTTAATCTTATCATTTGAATTTGCAACCCAAATAATGTTTTTGGTTTATTTTGACATGAAATGGACTTTGTCTTATCCGAACGTATACAGCAATTAACATGTGTATGCTTTTCTTTTCCTAAACCTTTATTTAGAATTAACTAAAACTTTCCAAGAAAACTTTCAAGATTTTTACAAGATAATTCCATAGGGCATCTCTTTCATTTTCTTTTTTGTTTTTCATCGAAGTAATTGTTGGGTTTTCTTTGGCAAACCATACCATTTGCAATGTCTTTATCTTAGGGTACTCTATTTGTTTCCGAAAATCCTAATAAACCCCTGAGTATGATTTATTGAAAATAATATACACATTCTGGTAATCTTACCAATATTATGCGATTGCGCACATTCCTATTTGTTTTTTGTTTTTAAGTAAATTTTTGGGTTTTTCTTAGCAAATAATTTGGGTGTTTTTCTTCAAATCCTCCCAAACCCTTTCCTTAATCTATGAAACTCTCACAATGTTCACAATTTAATGCTATTGTGCACCCTTGTTTAGTTTTGATCTAAAACAAAATCCATTGACAATCATGGATTTTGTCATTGCTTTAACGAGGAATGGGTACTAAATGTGTTCCTTTTCTATTTCAGAACCCTTTATTTCAATTTATAGAAACTCTTTCAAAATATGAACCATAAAATGACATGATGCGACTCCTATTTGTTGTACTCATCCAAATTTGTTTTGGGATTTCCCTTAGAAAACCTTGAACTTTGCCTATTTTTTTTTTTGACAGGTGAATCATTTTGTAAGCCGTGCGCGGAGTTCCACTAGATCGCAATAGTTTGTTTCTGTTCTATTGTTTTCTATTCGTAGCTATTGTGCGTTGTGAAACCAGTATCGTGTTATGCTAAAAACTTCATGAGGAATGACTTCATAACTAGCCTCCCCCTTCCATTTTACAAGGATGCATATGACACTGTCTGTTTATATACCTTTAAGAGAAAATCAAATGCGTGCAGGATTAAGCTTTAATAAACACTAACGTTTAATGGATATGTTCCATATACTACAAAACAAACAAATAAAAATGTAAAAAGTGTGGGGTTCGGAACTCAATCACTTTCGCAAAATTCATTCCCTTCCTCACATTTAACCCTTATAATTTTCGAAAGTGTATCAATATGTCTCAGGTATAACGAATCGATTCTAAAAGGGACTATGGGTAGCTTCTTCAGTTTTATATGTTAGTATCACATGCAAAATTACTATTATTATGAACAGACATCTGAATAACTGCATTAAAATGAATTGGAACTGAGATTTTCAATAGTTTATTAGCTAATTACATTCTACAAACAGTTCAAAGCTAATATATACCCATATACTAACAAGTTAAATCCACAGTACCATACGAACATCAAATTCATAACTTAAAGGTAAAAAGTATACTAAGCTTTTTAATACTTTTAATAATTGTGATGTTTTTTACATTTTCTAAAGATAAATACTTTTAACAAAATTTTGTTCTTTTTAATTTCACCAAGGAAAATCTTGATGTCCTAGTCTTAAGTATTTTTGATATTTTGTGGATGATGTTCACAATCAATTGACCAGTATTTGATCTTTAGAAATCTACACTGCATTTAAAAAAGACATTGAACATTCATTATTTGATAAAGAATCAATCTTTAGTTCCAGTTTTCTGTACTTATTTTCAAATTTGGTTTGAACTATTTGCTTTACTCTTTGTCCGAAAGATGTTCAATTGTGCTATATTTAACCGTTGAATCATGGTCAAATATACATGACAAAAGAAAATATCTGCGTGCATTTTTACCAGGAACGATTAAACTAAAAAGAAACAAAAAGCCATAAATGTAACAAATAATTGAATGTCATATGAATAACAAAAGAAAAGTCAAATTCATTTCAGTAAACATTACCCAAGGGAATTGATAACTTAGTTTCCTAATAATATCTTGTTTCTTCAAGGAAAATTTTAGAAAGGTATGGTATTGAAGAGAGACAGATTCCGAGTTGAAGATACCATCGATGGACTAACAATCCATCATGATAACACAACAAAAACCTGTTTATATATACAACGAGAAAGATTCACCAAAAGTTGTTTTTAGATATATTATTTTTTAACCAGAAAATAGACTTTTAAAAGATATTATAAAACCCAATGTACAAATGATAGACTGATGTTTTAGTCTTACTTTTAAATTTGCATATTTTGACTAGTATATTTCTGATAATATATGGCTTAAACTATCAATGAGAAATGTTCTGCATTAGAAAAAGCAAATCGGAATCATTAATTCATATCATCATAAGATTGTAATCGACTATATGTGAAGCAACTCATAAATTCTTTACCTTCAATTGACCATAACTTACAGCAGAATGCATTGAGTGTGTAGGTAAAGGTAGAATCTTTGTTTAGCTTGCTTGTTAGCTGAACCGTGAAGTCATTATTAGGTTAGGTATACTACCCTCCTTTCGGAGTAGTCTAGTCCTACAGACAGAAATATTGGTTATCTGTCGGACTAGTCTACTCTTAAAGGAGGGTAGTTTACCTTACTATATAATGACTTCACGGTTCAGCTAGCAGGCAAACTAACCAAAGATATTACCTTTACCTACACACTCAATGCATTCTGCTGTAATTATATTGTATTGTAGCTACGCCGATCAGTTTATATTAATAAGATATATTAATTATTTGTTATCTATTGGTTCATAGTTCGTAGCCTTATTTCAAGGTCCTCTAGCAATTTGTTGTCGAAGTTACAAAAGTCAAATGTCTGTCCAACTCTGACAAAGGCTTTTAACCTCCTATCTTTGATATGACTGCTATCCAAAATATCATAATTAACTACAACAATTCTTCGAGGGCTGTTCGACTTGAAGTGAGCCCAAATTTGGTTCCATTCAATCACATTGAATTGTGATTTTAAGTAGTCGTCGCTCAAAATAACTAAATACGAATTTGAATTTGCAACTTCAGTGAAAATCTGTTCGACTTGCACACCACCTGGAATGAAATCTCTCGGAGGCAGACAAACTTTGAAGCCATTCCGTTCTAGATTGTAAACGACAACCGTTGTTACCCATTTCATTATATTGTTATTTTCAGTATTGAACGACAAGTACACACCAAATTTGTTCGGTTGCTGACTGGTTTTATTATTGAATCTGCCAAAGTACCGACTTTTGAAATTCCTTGAAAGTAAATATATTTCGTACTTCCATGTTAAATAAAGAAACAGAGATATAAATACGATTATCATGAAAATAAATAATGCATATTGCACAGTTGACTTCGGTTTTTCCTCGGCACAAAATTTAGAGACAGAAATTGCCTCAACATCTTTATCGGGAAAACGACATGTAATAAAGTTATTACCTCTACGTCTTCTGTTCTGATTTTCCAGCCAAATTTGAATCCACTTCATCTCACAGGAACACGTGATCGTTATATTTCCGAACTGAACTGTTCGCTTATTTTTAAACAGCTGTACATTTTTGTTTATCTGAGATATAGCATTGTGCTTGAGATTGATATTGCTAATTTTCAGGATTCCATAAATCAATGGGTCTACTCTTTTTATTCGGTTATAAGACAAATCGATTGAAGACGTTCTATATAAATAAGTACGGTTTGCGAAAACTGTTATCGAATTATGACTTAAATTAATATCTAAACCATCTTGTTCCGGCAAAACAGTTGGCAGCTTATATTTTCCCCTCATAGAACAATTAATCACAACTCTTGACCTCGATGGCTGTTTGAAACAACTGCAATTGAAAGGACATTTGTCTTTCATTGAGATATTACATATGAAAAGGTCTGCACTAATATTAAAAATCCGTCTACCACGAAGAAATGGTGGATGTTCGCAAGCTAAGTTTCGTTTTACTTCAAAATTTTTGCTACCAAGTTTGAAATGTACAATGAAAGGCTCTAACTTGCAATCACAATTTAAATGATTGTCATCAAGGTTTATAGGAAATTTGAAAAAAGCACTAAATATATTTTCACGGGTAAACCCTAATTTCGAAAAATTAGGTATTTCCGAAATTTGGTTAGAGTTTAAATTTATATTTCCACCACTTTTTGAAAGATTAAATTTAAAATTCAATTCATTTGTAAACTCTGATATACAATTGTTACTCAGTTGTATAAAGTCAAACGAATAATCGAGAAATAAGTTTGTTAAATCAATGCATTTTAGAAAATTGTGATGTAGAGAAATCTTCATGAGAGAACCTGGACGGTAGTTAAATGTATTTGGTTCTATATATTGTATCTTATTGTAAGATAAATCCAAAACTCTCAAGTATTCCAATCTGTTGAATGTTGTATTTCCCAATACTGCAATTCTATTAAAAGACAAGTTTAATGTGTCCAGCATGTGTAAACATTCGATGTGAGTAATATTTTCAACCTGGTTTTTAGAAAAATTTATATCCACTATTCCTTTGATATTGCAAAGACTACTCGGTACTACTTCTAGATGGCCCTGCTGGTATAAAATCTTGTAGAACAATGTGCCATTAGTACTATTGGAAACTATAACAAAATTGTTTTCTTTTGTTGATTTCAAGTGTAAAATTCCGAGCAACTTTTCAATTATCCAGTATGGTCGTGCATATTTCACGCAGCAATTGACAACATTTCTCCCCGCAAAACTTTGCCCTTTTGTGATTGTTTGTTTACATGATTTCGGACACATAAGGTATTTACTAGCAATCGTATCTTCTATCCAGTTGAAATATCCAGCGATAGGTTGTCTAGCAATATCACTAAAGTTTGCTGTTAAAAACAGATGAACACCAAAATTAATGAAGAACAGATTGATCTGAAACAGAAGGTAATAATCGTTATTTTCAAATTTTACGAAAACTTGTCAAAACTATTTAAATGATCTCTTGAAAAAAAGAAGATATACAGTTGGTAATAGAAACTACTAGTATAAGTCACAGAAAAGTAAAAACAACGTTTGCAAAAAGACAAATGGGGAAAAAAACACAATAAGACAAAAATACTAACAATTGTCCACAAAATACTACACAGGAACTACTAAAGATAATGTAACATGAACCTCACGAAAACCAAATGTAAACTCTGCCCTTCTTGGCTCAAGATATGCGACATTTCGTCTGATATGAAAGTGTTTCTTGTGATATAGAAGACAGACACATTAAACTTTTTAGTTTTCGACAATAAACTTTGCTTATATATGGAATGATCACCTATTTAGAATTAAAGGATATTAGTTTTTATGAATTACATAACAATAACTTGATTTTTTTTTACAATTCATTTATGAGAAAAGAAAAATTAAACTGTGTTTTAAAGCCGTCAACTCAATTCAAAGTAAATAATATAGGTTCTTGTTATAATTGCCTGACTTTATATTGGATGTATTCACTGTATAATGCTCTTATTATATTGTGTGCGTCTTTGTACTATTTGGTACAATCTTCTTTTGTTTACAAACAATTGAATGTGCTGGTATGAATCAAAGCTCTAAATCACTTTAAATCACTCGCTCTCGCTAGAAAAGCTATGAATAAGTTTTAAAACTGGTAAAAGATATTCCGATATTAGCATAATATACCAATGACAAGTTTACCCTAACGGACCACCTGAGATCTCCCCCGGATTTTGGTTGGGTTCGTGTTGCGCAATCTTTGGTATTCTATGTTGTGTTTTGTATATTATTGTTTGTTTTATTGATCATTTTCATGAGTTTGAATGTCCCTTTGATATCTTTTGCCTCTCGTTTACTACAAAACAATGGTTCACGAACTTGTGTACGCGTTTTTGATACCTTAACCTTTCCTCTTTTGAACAGAAACATGTTAGCTATAGCCTTTTCGGTATATACTGTGCAAAACGAAACATAGAAAAGACAATTCATATACAGTCAAATCAGGTTTACAGACCACCTGTATTAAGCAAACGCCTGTTTTATAAGACCATCAACTTAAGATGCTTCAGCAGTGCATTCCATATAGATTGAACCTTTACGAAAAGACCACCTCACCTGTCTTATAAGACCTCTTTTTTTGCTCTCTCTTACGTAGTCACTTAAAACAGGTTTAATTGTACTTGTTTACCTTACTATATAATATATATTATCGTACCATCTAAGTATGGCATAACAAATGTGATTGATTTCCTGTAGGACATCTTGTATTTCCGTAAAAAAAAACTCCTTTTTGAAAAAAACTGTTATGTTTTATCACAGTTATTAAAGTTTTTAAGTATTGAAACTATTACACTTATTGAAATCAGACACGTCACTGCAAACACATATATTTTCTTTTAGAAATGCATACTACATAAGAAGTATTCAACGAAATTGTTGAAGATATCTATAAAGGGATATTTCTTTGAGTCTTTATGAAATTCAGCTATCAATGTGATCTTTTATTCAAAAAAAATATTGATCAATTTCCGAATGATGTGGTCAAACTCCGACCGTTATATAAGGCCCAAAATAAGGCCACCTTTTTTTTATTACTAAAATATCAAATGAGTGTTCAATGACTAACATCACATTGAATCGTAATAAAATAGACAAGATAGAAAATTTGTACATTTTTAACGTTTATATGTCATCGTTCTTTTTATGACGTCATTCTTTGCATCATTTTTAGATTTCCACTATATTCAAGGAAACAGGAAATTAGTATGAAGGACCGCATATATAACGCATGCGTAAACGAGACATATATTGTAACATTATAAAATATAAAAATAAGGAGATGTGGTATGAGTGCCAATGAGACAACTATCCAGCAAAGTTCAAATGAAGTGGATGTAAGCAATTATAGTCCACCGTACGGCCTTCAGTGAGAAAAATTCATACCGTATTGTCGGCTATAAAAGGCCCCGACATGAAAAATATGCAACAATTCAATTGAAGAAAAACGGCCTTATGTATAACAAAACAATTCTATCATTATGATATCATAAGAATGCCCTTCTCGTTCATGTTTTGTTTAAGTATTCGAAATTTGCCAAAATCTTTCTAAATTGTAGTTAAATGCATTTAATAACAATTGTCATGTTACAAACTGAAAGAGTACACAAAGAAAGCGGTTTTACGGTAAATTATAATGAACATTGTAAATATTTAGAAAATGGACCCAGTGAAATAAATTCAAGAGAAATTGGTCTACCTCGCTTTATCATACCTCTCTCCCAGAACGGAACTACTAAATTAACATATGTGTCTATGTACAGGTCATTTGTATTTTTGATATTCAGAAATTTGAAGTTTTATTCTACTAACCTTCCGACCACATATAAAAATTACACAAAAAATCCCCGATTTTTATTGAATCGAATTGTACAATATGACATGATATAATAGGAAGAATTTTCTTTTCAATGAATGATTGTGAGGTGGCTGCTAAAAAAAACTCTTTTTTTTCGGATTTTGCATGTGACAAAAGAGGGGCTGGCGAGAGAGGTTTTTAAAAAAATCAATGAATCTGATTAAGAATTTTATTTTGTGATTGAAAATTACAATATTAGCAACATTATCATGATTATTAAGATTTAAATGTAGTCTCTTTTATCATTCAAACACCTATCACTTAAATTTCAGTGTTTATATATGTGTGTTGCAATGAATATGGAGCCCTTCCTGTTTTGAGGAAGTTTAATTTAATTAAATCTACTAAGTAATTAAATATCCTTTAATAGAGAAATGCGTGACACCTTTGATTTTAAAATAATCCTAACATTATGAGGAATAGCTTCAATATTGAAATGCCATCGATGTCACTCCCAGCTTTTGCATTTTGAGATTATGACGTAAAAGGAAAGATTTCAAACGAGTTAAAGAATACATTGAACATGTTCAAAATAGAACAACATTTTATTGAATGAGGCAATCACTTGAATTGCCATCAACGACTCAAATTTCCACTTCCGATTTTCCACTGAACATTATACCTCAACTTTCAACAATGTCTCGTTGTTACCGATGACTTTTTGTCAAACACACTAAATGAAAATGGCACTTTTCATTTCGTGCGTCTGAAGCGCGTTTCTGAATTACTTTCATCACAAACATTCAAACCCAAATATGTGAATACCAGGTATGTATAAGACCCAAATTGTATCATTAGTCTGCATATGAACTATAGTGTTTGGCATCAGCACTTTAGAATTTTGCAAACCAAAAACGACTTAGTTGATAACTCGTTATTTTAGTTGAATATGTTAGATGTCAATTAAAGATCTCAATTAGATTCTTTCCAGAAACCTTCTTGTAAACCAACACTCGAAAACATACCGAGCAAAAACATTTTTCGAGGGAAATTTAAAAAAAAAAAAAAATTAAGAGAGACGATTTCATACAATTAAACATTAATATTGTGTTGCTTTAATGTCAAACTTAAAAATATTATATCTATAAAAATCATAAACAGGACAATGATCCGTTGATAAGATTGTGTAGTAGAAGGACAACTTTATTCTATGTTTCTTACCAACCTTCCGGCCACTTACACTTGTGACACACATTTTTCTTAAAGGATGTAGAAATACCCATATTGTAACTTTTTTCTTCTATATCACTTATTTCTAAATTGTTTTTGCACTAAAGATACAGTACACCAACCTTCTGACAATTTATGCGATTTGTATAATCTTTGAAAGATTGAAAGAGTACTTTATATAATCTGACTTAGTCCTTATCTAACATTTCTTTTCAAATATTTTGTTGAAATTTTAGCAAAGATACTCACAAATCATTTTATCAAGTGTACTCGTATTTTAATATTGCAACGACCTTAAATAAACTTGAACAGGCGCATTTGGCATTTTGTCTACATTTCTTATTTTTTATAAATATTGTTTCATATTTCAAAAATATTTTCAGTTATAAAATTGTTCTAGCTCTTCTCCGAACGATATAACAATAAAAGTAGATAAACATGCACGTTTTATCAGAAGGCAGGAAGTACTAGTATAAAAAATTTAGATATCGTACATCCGTCGGCTTCGGTGAATTTTGTGCTCGATATTCCAATCAAATCATACAAATCGGGACATGTATCTACTAAAAGATACTTACATTTCCGTTTTTGTAGGTGCTTTGTTTGTGCAATCACTCAGCTATTCAGAAATTTCAATCTCTTCCTCGCCAGTAGCTATAATTTTGTTACGTCTGTTTCTAATGACGGAAAATGGATCATACACGCGCGCGCTTGTAGACTACAAATGCAATATATGAAATCATAAATGGTATCCCATTTGTTTACAGGCGCCAAAATTGAAAAAAAAAACGGGAAACCTTTTGAACTTATCAGACTTCATATATTCATTACGACGATGTAAAAACATTTGGTTTCCATGACGTCCACCAATAGAATTAGACTTTACTTACAAGATTAAAATAATTGTTAGTTACCAATGTTAAATAATATAAAGAATGCAGTCTGTTATGCATTGTTTTCATTGAAATAAAATTATCGTTATTAACTGTATTTCTTCTGATTAAGGACTTTTTCACAATGACTAAAATTCGGAGAACCGAAGCAACTAGCTGATTAGAACTCGGATCTGTATGACCCGCCTCTCATTGTCAGTTGCATATTTATATTATACATGCTCCTTCTTTCACCCTTTCTGAAGATTTTCGTCGTGTTGTTCACAAGTATATATGAATATGATTTTTAATAATTGTAAAAATGGGGAATTGCATATAAAGTTAGCATAGTTGGTTCTAATGACCAACTGTTCACAAAACAACGACGTTAGGACTTTTATTTTATTGAAATAAACATTTTCGTATTTTTTCACTTGTAATTCTGACCCAACATAGGAATTGTCAAA